GGCTTCATAATTTCAGCCCCATTCAGTGGCCAGTTTCATCAACCAGCCAAGAGGTCCATCTGCACCCGCTATACAGAGTTTATGTGAGCTTACCCATGACAGCTCCCTACCCCATGCTGCAGGAGAGTGACTAACAGGACTCCAGCTGGAGCCAAGGGATTCTTCCCTGCCCTCCCATCACATTGCACCACTTTGCCCATTGGAAAGACAGGGAACCCTCTCACTTAAGCCTAAAACATGGCCACTGGACTTAGATTCATATGTACGTTACCACAGGTTCTCTTCCAGGGAGACCAGGACCAGATTTGCTGACTCCAGCTATTCATTTTAACTCCTGGCTCGCATGCTCTAGCATTACACTATGTAAGACAGATGTGCCACACACCAAACTTGCTCTGAAAATTGTGCCTGACTCCCAATAGGAGAGAACTGTCAGATTTGCCCTGCAGTGTAGAAAATCTGCTGCAGAATGGGAGGAATTTCAAGGGACCAAATCTATACATTAGCTTGACCTCAGAGAAAAAACCTCCATTGATTTAGAGAAACTTGAGATAATCCGTATGTGTGCATGAGTCTGTAAGTAAAACATGTGTAACAGGATAGCCATTGTGAAAAAGAGGCCAAAAGAATTTCTCTGCAATACATCTAGACACGATGAGTCAGATTCTCAGCTGTTGTGTTTTGACATAGCTCCACTGAAGTTAGTAGGATTGTGCTAATTTATGCTAATTGAGTATCTTGTCTGTCATATTACACTTCACTGAAATATGGATATATATTTTATTTAGCAGCAGAAAATTGTTTCCAGAAAAAATGTGCAACAAATTCATGGATGAATGGGTCTGCCCCAGGGCATTTGATTTTTACAAGACAAGTAAAATGTGAATAAGGCATGAGTTATGGCATACTTCTGAACAAGGAATTTCTATCAAATCCAGCAAGGGACATTATTTGGTAGTTAGGAATTTTGACTTTGTCTTACTGATGTGACACTGAAGCAATCTTTCTAACCTGATCTTGATCTTTTTTAGATCTTTATTGATACAGTGCCAAATGTTATGTTTTTTTCAACAATGAAACGGCCGTCCAGGGATAAACAAGAAAAAAGGATTTTTACAGAAGACATTGATATTTCCGAAATCTCTGGAAAACCAGGTCCTACTACTGTCAGCTTCCACTCCCCACTCACCAAAAACCCAGATGTGAAGAGTGCTATTGAGGGAATCAAATACATTGCGGAAACAATGAAATCAGACCAAGAATCCAAAAATGTAAGCCATTTTTTTGCACGATACATCTCTTGCTTTTGAAATGATGTAATTTCTGGCAACAAATCTTTCCATTTCTCTCAAATGCACTTCACATAGAGTGTCTGCCTTATTTCAGAATCCTGTTTTATTTTTCTTGATGTAGTCAATAAGGAATGATAAATAATAACTGCAAATGATGAGTGAATCGTGGCCAAAGGATTGTGTGGCTAACTTACTATGTAGCACTGCTAATTTTTTCCAAGTGTAATACCTGAAGTAACAGAAGGAGTGATTGAGAGGACTTGAAACAGTGTCAAGGAAATTAACGTTCCAGAAGAGTTTCTTACTATATCTTTGTTAAGTAATTAGCAGCTTACAACATATTACCACTAAAAAGGTGGGGGGAAAAAACCTAAGCAAAGTTAAGTGCTAACAGAAACACTTTTTTTTACCACCTCAGAGTTCTTAAATGTGACCTGTAAATGTTAACTCCAACTATGACGTACTATTATATTTTGTACTGGATACTCCAAATAATCTTTGTAAGAGAGGCACATAATAAGCATTTTTTAGAATACTTACATTTTCCATATCACTAGCCAAATGAAGGTACAGAAGCTCACAGAGATGGGTATGACAGCTTTTCCTTGAAAAATCTTGCTCCCCCCCCGGCAAAAGTTAAGTATCTGTGCTGAAAACCAAGGTTGAGAGAGCCAGGCCACAGGGAGTCATCATTAAAGGCAGGATCAAAATGTAGGAATATGACATGCTCGGTCCAATGTTTAGTATGCTACATCATGTGCCTTTTACTGCTTTACTCCCAACACAAGCTACTCAGAATGGCAGCCTAAACAGCACCTGGCCTAAAGGGCCTTGCAGTAGTCCCAGTTCTGGCAAGCATAATTTGGCAATCATTGTCCCCCACAGCTGTGGATGGGATTTAGGTCCCTATAAAAACAAGGGGCCTTTAGAAGAGGTAGAAACAGATCCATAGATTACTGCTGGGTGAAAGAAATGGAGCCATATGAACAATAAACTCTTCAGTCTCTGACCAAACCAAAACATAGTTGGGGACAATAAATGTTTTGGCTTTATATTTTTAACACTTAAAAATACTGACATTGCCTTTTTAAAATAAAATTAAAATGTCATTTTGAAACATTTTAAATGAAACATTTTTAGTTTTTCCAAATAAAAACAAAGACACAAACTAAACTATTTGGCCAAATTTGACCTAAATCTGCAAATTGTTTCATTTCCCTTGAAAATGCACTTCTAGTGAATAAATTGTTCACTAAAAAAATCCCTTAGTTATAAGGGAACCATAAATGACCTGCAATGTTCACTCTAGAACAGAGGTGGGCAAAATATGGCCCGTGGGCCCACCAAGGGATTCTGTCTGACCTGTGGTGGGTCCCTCAGCTCCACCCAGCCCAGGCAGGGGGAGCCACCCAGGCTGTGACACACATGGCCAGTCCCACTGCCCCCAGGCACGTGGCAGGGTGGGGGCAACACAGCAGCCACACTTGGCTTCCCGGCAATCCCTGTGGCAGCAGCTCACTCTGCCTGGCTGCCACAGCCGGTGTCTCTGCCATCACTGCTGGACCTGGCCCCACTGCCTGGGCACCCTGGCCCATCAGCCCCGCACCTACTGCTGGGGGCATCAGATGGAGCAGGTGGATGGGGGTCTCCATGGAGACCAGCCTGAAACCCCTGCAGGCAGAACATGTACAACTGGGGGATGGCATGGGGCCATGGGAAGTGGTGTCTAGGAGTGGAACAGGCAGGTAGAGGCCAAGGCCAGGATCATGGGGTAGTAACAGTGCAAAGCTAGGCCCTGGGGCCGAGCCGCAATCCACTCCTGGCACATCCTGCCCACAGAACCAGCACCTGGGGCAGGGATGTGTGGGAAGTGGATCACGGCTCTTTTCTAGACCCTAGCCCTGCATTTGTTACCACCCCACAATCCTGGCCCCACCTGCCCCTCCTGCTCCCAGATGCCACTCCCCACGTGCCCGCGGCCCAGCCAAGCACACCCTGCCCACCAGGGTCCCAGGCTGGTTTCCATGGAGACCCCACCCACCTGCCTGCCCTCTCTGTCCAGCACCCCCAGCAGTGGGTGCAGGGCAGATGGACCTAGGGCTGGATAGGATCAATTGCTGCTCCTGCCGAGCTGAGTCAGCACCCCTCTTCCCCCCTCCCTGGCCCACAACAGCTTACCAAAACTCCTTAAGTGGCCCTCCCATCCAAATAATTGCCCGTCTCTGCTCCAGAGGCTGCCTGCACATTGTATTGCACAGTGGAGTGTGACAATGGGGAATGTTCAAGAATTTTGGTCAAAAATACCAGGACAAATCCCTGATGTTATGAAATGTGCACTATGATCAGCCGGAAAGAGGGGGGCTCAACCCACAGCCCATGGGCCAAATCCAGCCTATAAAGCCATATCATCCAGTCCCCAGGGCTCTCCATGGGTCTGGAAATTTAACAGAGGAGCAGTAGCAATTAGTACTGCCACCACTCCCCCACCACCAAATTACCAAGCCCCATATGGCTGGATCAGCTCGAGCCCCACACACCAGGATCAGATCAAGGCAGGCAATTGCTTTGTGCTGGGATTAGGCTCACAAACCAGATCTAGCTTGCAGACAAGTCTGGCATTTCTCATCCAACCTGGAGTGTAAAAAGGTTGGCACCACTGGCCTAGAACACATAAGACCTCTGGTTTTCAGGACTCAGTGAAAGGAAAGGATGAAGGATTAAGTCAGTCTAGATAACGTAGGTGTTTCAGAGCACTAACCTATTCCTGTCAGGAACATGAGTATTTTTCCATACTAATATTTGAAATCAGAAAAAAATCAGTAATTGTTCAAATGCACATAAGAAACATAGCTTCTAGGAATTTCTAACTATCTCTTTTCTTTTAATCCCAGGCTATGGAAGAATGGAAGTTTGTTGCAATGGTAATTGATCATCTTCTCCTTGGTATCTTCATGTTAGTTTGCATTATTGGAACATTAGCTGTATTTGCTGGTCGTCTTATTGAATTAAATCAGCAAGATTGAACATGATGTATACCTCTGGTCTGGGGAGCACAGTTTTATTGACAGCATTGTCTTTTACTGAATACATTCTATTGTGCCACCCATTGTATTCAGCCCAGCAGTCTGAAGTTTCCACAGACAAGAATTCATTCTCACTGGGAATAAATGGTGAAGATAAAAACAAACCTTCCACATTTAGCATGTCTGGGCCACTTCTTGAAGGCTTCTCTTTCAAAAATGCACATTTTTGAGCTGGTAGTTTGACAGCCCTGGGGAACAGTCTGCAACCTGTTTGGATACATTTTAATGCTAATTTTAAAAAACCTAAAATATATAAATAGAATGTTTACTTTAAAACTGCCTCAAAGCCAAATTCTGTCCCCAGCTGCAGCCTCCACCATTATCTGTCAATAAAGATAGGATTTTTTACTAACATGCTTTATCTGGGTTTTAAATCAATATCTAAACTTTTAGGTTACAAGCTGATTTCAAAGCTCTGCTATGTGGGTTCTGTATTGGCAGCATCACAAATTAACCTTCCACTAGCAAGACATGCCACAGCAGAAGGCTTAGAAATGCCATTGTTAAGCTTAGTTTTCAAACTCTTCTCAGAAATGGCTCGTGGTAAGTGCTTCTGTTCATGGGAACTCTACTTGGCTCTGTATGGAGGAGGCAATTTTACTGTTTGGCAGTTATGGAGAGAATCCAGCCCAGTGCAGTGAATGCACATGAGCGTTTTTTGCTGCCACGCTTCCCTGGAGCTAGGGCAGGCATGGCTGCAGGTAGCAACTGTGGAGAGAGAATTTGCACCTTTGGCACAGAGCTCAGTTCCATGATTGGCTCAGACAGCCAGTGTAAAGGGAGCTAGCTGTTAGAAACAGGCCAGAAGGATGATCAGTATTTAAAGCAGTCCAGTAACACTAAGCCTTTTCATCTGATTGCAGAAGGCTGTTACCACCATAGTTTAGAACAAGAGCTCAGGAAGGACTGCTTGTAGGTAAATGTGTTGGCTTCCATTCCGCTGACCAGCCCCACAGAGTTCCCTGAACAAAGCCTGGAATTTTATCTTATATGCAAGGGGAGTTTTACACAGAAAGTCAGACAATAATCCTGACTCCCATCTGGCATCCCTCAAGTGAATCAAACTTGTATGAAGTTGGATTTCCATAACTAGATGTACCAGGTCTTCTCTCCGAGCCCAACATCACTGATTCCCTTGCATGCCTCCGTCATTGCAGTCTTCCAGTCTCTATTGAATGGATCACATAAGTATATGAATTCAGCCTCTACAAATAAATTCTAGGTTGAGGGATTTTTCTTAAACAGTTTGTTGTGAATATTAGTCAAAATTCTAGCTATGTTGATTTTTTGTTGTTTTGATACACAGATAGCATGTTATTTGTTTGACTGGTTGTTTAGAACTAATTTGTGAAGATTTGTATTTCTGGTCAATATTTTTTATGAATATTCTCTAATATTGACTTAAAATATGTTCAATTCACCTGCTTTCATTTTGTTCACTGATTTATTATTGGGAAATGTACACAAAAAGGGTGTTGAGCATGGGGGAAGAGAATCAAGTTGTTTATTTGACTATACATTCAGAGCTTGAGCATACATGACTTGATGTGTCCATCTAACTAAAATCAAGAATCTCACTTTAACCAGAAATCAGAATGATATTCCCTGAAACTGTCTGGGTGCAGGTTAGCCCAGGGTACTTGGACACAAAACTTTTTATCTTTAAATTGCTGGCTTCAGTCCAGTCCAGTTGATTCATAATTGTTGGGTGACTGTTGGTTTTCCTATGTGCAGACCCAGCTTCCATAATTTTTAATTATAAAGGGCCATGGAAGTGTGGCCTCTGGTACATGGCCCTTCCACGGCCAGTCTGCCCAGCTTGTTAGTATGGAATGGAGGGGAAAAGCCATGGCCCTGATTCCCCACTTCTCTGTCATCATGGCTGGTGCCATGGAAGTCCTGAGCAGTCCTTGCATCAAGGTGAATGGAAAGACTGGAATTGTGACAGGGTCCTATGCAGGGCATAACTCCTTGTACTCTCCTTATCTGTGCATCCCACACAGCAGCTCTTCAGCATCCGGCTCATATTAATATGGAAAGAAATACTCAAGCAGTTATGGGACAGCTGACTGGCTGCATGCTGCTGGCACTCTCTTTACAGCTACTAAAAAGTATTAAGAAAAACTTTAAATTCTTAGTTTCCCTTGTGCTTATTTTCCTCATCTTTAGGTGCCACAGATTATTATGAGACTGCAAATGGGAGGGAAGGTCTGTGTCATCGAGTGGGAGGCATGGTATCCATGAAACAGTCTCTCCATTAAGACATGCTTTACAGTAGAAACACTGACATCCAGTCACCATTTTAATGAATAACTAATAATTTTGGGTGCCTTAAGTTTTGGGCTGCTTGATTTGACATCTTAAGATCTGTCAACACAGTAGTGCAGTATAGTTATTCAAGCTACTCACACAAGAAGCAGTGTGACCGCACTAGCACAAAGCTCATTCGTTTTCCTTAAATTAGTGCAGCTGGAACTCCGTGTTCAACGGGGTAAATTAGCTGAAGTGGAACCCTGTGCTTCGACAGGTAGACTGCTTGATTTAACTAGCTTGGTGAGCTCTGCTATGCAGTGAGGGTGTAGGATCAATATTGCCTTGGGGCAGTGATTCTCAGCCAGGGTTCTGCAGCACCCTGGCGTGCCTTGAGAGCCTCTCAAGGGTGCAGTGGGATGACGCACAATGTTAGCACAGTTACAAACATGCTACAAAAGATAAACCCAGAGTTTTCAAGTAGGAATCCATAGCATTAAAACATTCTGCCCTGTGGTGGGCCTTCTGAGTTTTTTGCAACAGAAGAAACATTCTAGTATTTTTCTGCACTCAAAGAAAAAAAGAAGAATGAAAACTAAGAGCTGACATTTTCTGAGGGGTGCCTTGAATCTCAGACTGCTGAGAACCAGTACTCCAAAAGTGTGAGAACCCCCTGGCTGAAAACCAAGCCTTAAGAGACACACACACAGAGTACTGAAAATCAGAAAGGCAAACCTGACCCTGATCCAACTCCCTTTGAAGTCAGCAGGAAAAATTACCCCATCCATTAGTACTGGATTATGCCCTAAATGCAAAAAACTGTTTCCTGTCCTCTGATAGTCCATGCATGTGCTGTGTTAGGTCTCCATGAATGTATCCCCCTCCCACCCCGCCAACTTGCATACATCATGCATTCTTGTGAAACATTGTTTCCTTTTAAGTATGTTTGCTAAGGGGAAACCACTCAACCAGTGTTAACAATATTAATGTTAAAGCGACTTGGAATGTTTGTGAAGGTACTATTAAAACCAATAAAACTATCATTGTTAACGCATTTGTTTAAGCCTGTGGTACCAGAAGAATCTCAGGCGTTGTTACCATCATGTTACTGCTAGATCAGGAACAAAACAAATTGGCAAGAGTATCAGGAAATCTTATTTTTCTCCTACAGAGGCTCTACTTGGCATGAATAGATAGAGAATTCAGTCCCCAGTGCTGTTCAGAACGTAATTTAATAAGCATGCAAGTCAAATTAGAAAAATGGACATCTCTGTATACAGCTTGATTATGTTGATTCTGTGGAAAATCAAATAGGGGCAGATATTTTAAATACATTTGACACAACTGTGAAATAAAACTACACCATTTTGAGCAACAGAAAATAAGCAAAGCAAACCTACCGTAGTTTTTCAAATGTTGGACAGCAGCGCACTCTTGTGGTAAGACAGAGTACTGCTGCTTTCATGAGTGGTTACTGCAGAATTTTTAGTAAATATTGACCTGATGTAAGCAACAAATATATATTGTTTTCCTGAAGATAACACAATATGAGATTCTCCCTCTGGCGGTTTTTTCCCCACAAAATGAACTGAAGTGAAAGGGAAAGGATTTAAATGAATTGCTACTCATTCAAGATAGCTGCTTACATCAGCAGGATTGCTGTGATAATTACTGTAAAGAACTTTCAGTCACTTTAATTTTAAAAACGTTCTGAAGAGAATATGTGAGTTGTTCTGTCAGAATACATTGTGTGTTTGGCTGAAAATATGCAACATACGCTGGACAAATTCATCTGTACTGCAGTTTAAAGCTCTGTTGAACTATATGCTTGGTATTTTCTGTTTAAGCATCTTTTTGATGAGCAGCATCCCCAAAATAATGACACCTAAATTTGCTGTCTGACTTAGTCTTGCCATTTGCAACCAATGTTCCAATGGTTTCAAAAGGGAAGAATCGACTGAATTCCTTTTGAGCAGAAGGGAATTTCCCCCTTGAACCTTGCCGTCCTCTTATACTGTGGAATAATTAATTCCAACACTTTCAATTCCAAGGGTGCATGAGAGGAAAAAAAATGTATCGACCCAAAGACTCGCCTTTGGTAAGTCAGCACACCAGGCCTTGGGTTTACCCAAAAACTGCATGTAGCCACCCTAAGCTCACAGACTAGGTACACTATCTAAAGTCTTCCACTGGTGAGCTGTGACCACAAATTAAAAATAATGCCCTTTTAAAACAATGGTGTTCAATGTTAACATCAGGAACAAAAGATAACATTAAAAGGGAGGATTTTAAAACAAAAGATATCTGTGCACACGCTTATGCTACCTACAGTTTAACCATCCTGCTGACGGGGACCCTTGGCAATCAAATTTTCCCCTGACTTTCACATGGCAAAGTCTAGATTTTCTGTCTCTAAATCCTAACACTCTTCTTGAGGACATTCTCCTTTCACGGGAACTGTGATGGGTCTACAGGCCTCATGATGGGCCAGGAGGGAAACAGTTAACTAGGCAACTGAGGATTGGGCACTGCCCAGTCAAGATACAAGGCATGACAGGATTTCAGATATAAAGGGCCAGAATGGAAGTCAGAGAACCATTCATTTGAGGGTGAGTTTGTATGGTGGCAGCTGGCTGGGCTGAGATCAGGTAGCTGAACTGCTGATAGATTTAGGATTGACAGTTCATGGACAAAATTCCCCCCGGGTGGTTACATGCTGGAAGACTGACTCTGACAGGAATCAGAGACTTTGTAGAATCAGTCGCTGGCCCTGACTGGAAGCTGGCTTGGAGAACGATAGAACAGAGGTAAAATGGAGATAAAAGGGGATGTGGATTCAGAAAACAGATTAGACACATTCAGGGAGAACAGGTTCATTAATAGCTATTAAATAGAATAATATGGGATGTATCCTCTGACATCCCTAGACCAATGATGGTTGATGCTAGGGAGGGTATCATGGAGGATGGATTATCTGTACATGTATGTAAATATACTCTCCTGCTAAAGCACCTACCCCATGCC